CCTCCCGCCCGTTCTGGCTTTCTCCCTCCTGCGGCTGAAGCTTTCCTCGGAGAAAGAGAATAGGCAGGCCGCAACTCTATGGTGATGGACGGATGCCTTACCCAATGGAAAGAGGAGCTGTCCCAAGGCCAGCCAGTCACATACGACTGCTGGTGCTGGCAGAGCCCGCCCTCTTTCCACTTGGACCTGAATAACCTGACCCAACCCGAGTTTCGCCCGGAGCGACTGCGCTTTCGGCCAATGAGTGCGTCGATTTCAGGCCGCGGTGGGAGAGGAGGCGGGACACGTCGCTATGAGAGAGACTGAGGGACAGCGATGTCAACCACTGACAACAGTTCGCGGAGTTTGACGGCGGCGGGGGCGTGGCGGGATTTTATCTGGGTACTGAGGAGGATCGGGCGGGGAAAGAGTGGGGCTTGACCAATGGGAGCGCTGGAGCTTCGTAGCAACGGAGGAGTGGCGGTAGCCGTGACCAATAGAAAGCCTCAGTGGCCTTGGCGGGGCGGGCCCGGCGAGCCGATGGGAGGTGCGGCGACAGTGTTTGACGAGAGCTGAAGGAGGCAGTGGGAGGTGTTGGCGGCGGCGGCGCGGGCGCCTGAGGAGGAGGAGGAGGAGGAGGAGAAGCGGGTGAGGGGCGGCGCGGGGCCCGATCTCTGAGCCCCTTCACGGCCCCAGCCCCGCGCCGCCTTGGCTCCCAGTCGCCCCCTGCCCCGACTGCCCCCCACCCCGCCCGGCCCCTCCTCGTGTCCAGGCACCCACGTCTCCCGGCCCCTCGCCGGGCCTCGGGCTTCGCGGCACCGCAGCCTCCTTCCTGTGCTTCCTCACCCGGGCCCTGACCCCCTTCTTACGTCCACAGCCCTCCCTGCATCCTCAGGGCCTCTCCCTGACCTCCTGTCACTCTCCAGGCCTCTCCCTGACCTCCTGTCACTCTCCAGGCCTCTCCCTGCACCCCCAGGCCTCCTCCTGCACCCCCCAGGGCCTTTCCCTGACCTCACCCTCCAGGCTTCTCCCTGCACCCCTAGGCCTTTTCCTGCACCCTCAGGGCCTCTCCCTGACCCCTCTCTCACCCCTGGGCCCTCCCTGCACCCCCAGGGCCAATCCCTGACTTCCTCTCACCCTCCAGGCTTCCTCCTGGACCCTCTAGGTCTCTCTGTGCCCTAGAACCTCTCTCTGACGCCTCTGCCCCTCTCCTGGCTCTCCCTGGACCCTGAGGTTGGCTTCTGACCCTCCAGGTCCCTTGTCCTGGGCTCTCACCGCCTACCCAGGCCCCACCCTGGGCCCCCAGGCCCTTCCCTAGGGTCTCCCTTTCCTGGATTCCCCAGGACCCCACCAAGCCCCGTCTGGATCCCTAGGCCCCTGTCGGCCCTCTCAGGTCCCTCACTCACTGGACACCCAGGATCCTCTCCACCGTCCCTGGGTCGCCCCCCCACCCAGGTCTCCCGTCTGGCTCCTCCCTGGGTCCCTAGGCCTTTCCCCGCACTCTGCCCTCCCTGGCACCCGCTTCCCTTCCTCACACCCCTCTGAGCGCCCCCTGGCCCGGCTGCAGCCTTCTCCCCCTTGCCCCGCACGGCCCCTGCCGTGCCCACCGCTGTGCGTTTCTGTCCTTGCCCCCAATCCCCTCTCCAGCTTCCCCGCCGTCCCTGGCGCCCTCCCGCAGCACCCCCTCTTTCTCTTCTGCAGCCTCCCAGTCTGTCCCCGACCCCTCTACAGCCGTCTCTGCAGCTCCCGCTCCTCCTCCCCTCCCAGGCGCAGATGAGCCTGGGGCGCCCTGGTGCGGGGACGAGGCTGGCCTCCGTCTGGGTTAGGGGTTTGGGTGGTTTCCTTCATCTCTCCATTCTCTCCTGGCTCCGCTTTAAAAACATGTTTTTGTAAATGTTGACCTGTGCTGCCTCCCCATAGTCTTCCTTTGCTCCCCACCCCACCCCTGCTTTTGTCCTCTGAGCCCCCCTCCCCTGGAATCCTTGGAGAGGGAGCAGGTGCTGGGATCCCTCCCCTGCCCTCCCTCCCCTCACCCGCCTCCAGGCTGCCTGGGGCTTCACCCGGAGCCTCCTGACCACTCCTGAAGGCTGCCGGGGAGGCAGGGGGCGGAGACCGAGGCTGGGTCCTGGTGGGGGTGGAGGGCGGGACCTCGGGCTGGCGGGAAGCTTTGACTTTTCCTCCTTGAGGGCTAGAGGTGAAGCGGCTCCCCACCAAGCCTTTAGGGTGATCCCGGCTGCCAATCAGTCAGCTTTCCCTGGGCCCACAGAGATATGTGTGGGGGGGGGTCTCTGTGCACATGGGCAGGGGCATCTGCGTGTGTCAGTCTGAATGTGCATGGGTGTGCCTGGTGCCCGTGTGCGGGTGCACATGGGGTTGTGTGTTTACGGGGGCCTGTGTCTGCCCTGCAGAGCAGGAGGGGATACAGATGCTAAGGTGATGGCTGACATGGCTCTGGGGTTTCCCTACTCTCAGAAGTACTTGTTGCGTTCCATCTTCGCCAGCAGCCCGGTGAAGTCTGCACTACTTTTCTCCCCATTTTGCAGATGAGATTGTGGGGCTCGCCAGCGTCCCCCACGGTTTCTGAGTAGCACAGGAGTGGAGTCAGCACCACACCAGGCTCCCCGCGCCTGCCTTGCCCTCACCTGTTCCTGCTCTCTGCCAGAGGCAGCATGGTCCCCAGAGCACCATGGGGCCGGACAGAGTGACAGCACGAGAACTGTGCGAGAACGACGACCTGGCCACCAGCCTCGTCCTGGACCCCTACCTCGGTTTCCGCACCCATAAGATGAACGTCAGGTGAGGCAGCCTGGGGGCGAGGGTGGGCCCGAGGGGTCAGGACCCCTCCCCTTGCACCACTGCCGCCCCTCAGACCTCTCCTCAGCCTGGTCCTCCCCTCAGCTCCAAGTGGGGGTTGGGGCCAGGGCCCGGGAAGGCCCTGGGACCCAGGCATGCCCTCTCCCCCAGCCCTGTGCCCCCACTGCGGCGACAGCAGCACCTGCGCTCAGCGCTGGAAACTTTCCTGAGGCAGCGGGACCTGGAGGCTGCGTACCGGGCCCTGACGCTGGGAGGCTGGACGGCCCACTACTTCCAGAGCCGGGGCCCGCGGCAGGAGGCTGCCCTCAAGACCCACGTGAGGGCGCCCTCCCCTCCCCCGTCCTCACCGCGTGTCCTCCCTGCTCACCGGGCTTGGTCCTGCCTGGCAGACGCTCTAGAGTCCCTCAGCGCAGCCCCTGGGGCCCCCTGACTTCCTAGCCCTTGGGACCATCTGAGGCAAGGCTCAGAGAATCCTAGGAGAGGAGAGTTGGGGGGGGCCCTCTGAGATGTACTCCAACCTCTTCATTTGACGGATGAGGAAACTGAGGCCCCAAGAGGGAACACGAGGCCCCTGAGACCACACAGTGAGTCAGTGGCAGAGCAGGCCTAGATTCCTGGAGAGAGAGGGTCAAAGATGCCCCTGCCCCACCTCCTCACCCCACCCTCACCCTCACCAGGTCTATCGCTACCTCCGTGCCTTCCTGCCGGAAAGTGGCTTTACCATCCTGCCCTGCACGCGCTACTCCATGGAGACCAACGGGGCCAAGATCGTGTCCACTCGTGCTTGGTAAGAGGGCAGGACTCCCTCCAGGCCTCCTCGGAAGAGACAGGGCTCAGAGGGGGTGAGAGGCCCTCTGTTCATGTACTGGCCGACCGGGCAAAAGAGAGGTGCCTGGTCCTCCGGGCATCCTAGGAAGGTAGTGGGGCTAATCCTGGAATCCCTTTGTGGCTACCAGGGTGCTGCTGGAGCGGGAGACCCCAGATGTGACCCCAGGGTTCCTGGGGCTTCCAGGAAAGAACTAGGCTTCTGCTTAGGGGTGCGCTGTCCTTACCTCATCGTGACCTGAGCCCCCCCCACATGTTAAACACCCCTGAGTGCAGTGAGGAGACCCTGCCCCTGCGGGGTTCACAGTCTGGTGAGGAGGCGGGTGGCAGACAAATCAACATGCAGTCACTGGTCCCAGCTGGTACACGCTGCAGGGAATGAGCAAGTGCTCCCAGGGCGAGGCTCACACTGAGAGGGGAAGCACCAGCCCGAGGGTCTGGTGGGGCGAGTAGCGGGGAGTCCAGACAGGAGGGAATTGGGAGCAGGAGGTGCTATGAGAGTGAGGGGAGAGAATGGGGGCTGTATCTGCTGTGTGCGTGCTGTCCTGAAGGCTTTCAGCAGAAGGGTCCTGTGAGGCTGTGGGCTGGAGCAGGGAAGCCCACCCAGGCGGGAGGGGAAGAGGAAGATCTGGAAGACGATCGCCAGTAGCCAGCACCAGCGCACAGGAGTCCCTGCTTCCTGGGTGCCTCTGTGCCGGAGGCCCGAGTCCCCTGAGCACCTGCAGGAGGCCAGGCATTGCCCACAGCCCCGCCCCCTGGCCTCTTGGCAGGAAAAAGAATGAGAAGCTGGAGCTGCTGGTGGGCTGCATCGCAGAGCTGCGGGAGGCGGATGAGGGGCTGCTGAGGGCTGGTGAGAATGACTTCAGCATCATGTACTCAACCCGCAAGCGAAGTGCTCAGCTGTGGCTGGGCCCAGCCGCCTTCATCAACCATGGTGAGGGTCAGGCAGGTGGGTGGGTGGGTGGGATGGGATGGGGCCACGTGGAGCTGGAGGGATGTAGTGGGAGGGTTTGACGACTGAGCTCTAAGCTCACCCACCTCTCTTCTCTCTCCTGCCCCGACTGGCTCCAGACTGCAAGCCCAACTGCAAGGTAAGGCCCTGGGACTTGGGAGGAGTGGCCACGTGGGAAGAAAGGATGCCTGTGGCCTGGGGAAAGGGTTTTTGGTCAGTAAAGAGCCAAAAGCTGGCCAGGCGTGGTGGCTCATGCCTGTAATCCCAGCACTTTGGGAGGCTGAGGCAGGCAGATCACGAGGTCAGGAGATTGAGACCACGGTGAAACCCCATCTCTACTAAAAATACAAAAAATTAGCCGGGCGTGGTGGCGGGCACCTGTAGTCCCAGCTACTCGGGAGGCTGAGGCAGGAGAATGGTGTGAACCCAGGAGGCGGAGCTTGCAGTGAGCTGAGATCGCGCCACTGAACTCCAGCCTGGGCGACAGAGCGAGACTCTGTCTCAAAAATAAAAACCAAAAAAGAGCCAAATGCTGCCCCCTGTCTCCACGGCTTCCCACGGGTCCTGGAAGGAGCAGAGTGGGTATTTGGTCACAAGGCTACCAAAAAGGAGGAAGGGGCTGCAGCTTGGCCAGTGTTGGCTGGCTGTTTGTGCAGTTGCTCTGGAACCCTGGTTGCCAGCTGCTGGCCATCTTTCTTCTCTGAAAACTGAGCTGGGAGCTGTGCCAATTTGGGCAGGGAGTGTGGCAGTGAGGCAGGGCCCTGTGGTGGGAGCTCCCGGCCTTGCAGGGAGCAACACAGGCAGCTGTGGTGTCAGGAGCAGGGAGGCCAGAGAGCCCCAGGGGTCAGGGGTCAGGACTCAGGATGCTGTCCAGACATACTGAGGAGAGGCCGCTGGTTGTCCTATAGCCGGGAAGTGGAAGGAATGAGGAGGGTCGGCTCCAGGAAGGCATTGAGGGTGCACCCTCTGGAGCGCAGACCTCCGTGGGGCGCCCCGGGAGGCATGACAAAGGGGTCCAGATCTTCAGCTCCAGAGTCAGAACTGAGTTGGGGTCCTGGCTATGCTACCCCTGGCCTTTGGTTTTTCATCTCGGTTGGGGTTGGTTGCCCAGGAACACTGCAGGCTGGTCAGGTTTGCCAGAGGGTTTTGGACAGTGAATGCGCGGCCCTGATCTGGCACCACACACAGACGCTGGGTGGGATGGAAACAAAAGGTGGTACCTGGAGAGGCTCTGCAGGGCGAGTGTGCGCTAGCCACCTTGAGCACAGGAGAGGGCGGCCAGCTCGCCAGCGATCTAGAGCCATCTGGCTTCACAGAAGCGACGCCATGCTGGGCATTGACAGAGAGGCAGAATTTCCCTAGGTGTTAAAGGAAATCAGGGGCAAAGGAGGGCGTCTAGCAGGACACGGCACACCAGAGGGCTGGGGGTGCCCAATGACGGCTTTGGTCGGGCAGCAAGGCCTTGTGGCCCGGGCCAGGGAGCCACGGAAGCTCCCCCCAGGGTGTTTAATGGGAAGCTTGGGTTTTAGGTCACCCTGGAGGCCCATGTGCAAGAGGCTTGGCAGGCAGGGGAGAGGCTGGAGGCAGGGTGGCCACAGAGAGGTGATGAGGGGCTGACTCCAGTAGGGGTTTCAGGGAGGCAAGGAGGATGAGGATGTGGGAGGTGGCGCACTTAGGAAGTAGTGGCTGGTTGGTCTGGGGGCCGTCAGGCAGGCAGGTGGCGAGGGCTACTCCCAGGCAAATGTCAGTCTTGAGTGGATGGATAAATGGACAGTTGGGTGGACAGTGGTCATGCCCCCTTCTAGACGGGGAACAGGGAGGGAGGCACAGCTGTGTGGGGCCCAGGAGGAGCCTGCGGGGCAGCTCCTGGGTGAACGATCCCAAAGGCAGGGCCAGAGCCCACACGGATTGGGCTGTGGAGTGGAGGCAGGCCTCAGAGAAGCGGGGGCAGCCCATGGCAGGCAGAGCTCAGACCTCAGCTGCCAAGGAACAGTTTGGTGGGGGGCAGGCAGCTCAGGAGGGCATGGGCTTGGGTGTGGCAGAAGAGATGGGTCTTGGCACCAGGCCACAGAGGCTGGCGGGAGCGGTCAGCACTGCTGGCACGGCATGCTGCCAGAAGGTCAGGTTAGATCATCGTCCTGCAGGGAGGGGTGGAAACCAGCCAGTGGGTGGATTGTCCAGGGGCTACAGGCAAAGGACAGGCCCCGGGCAAGGCAGCCGCCTCCGAATGCCACTTTTAGGGGCTCGGCTGTTGCCCCATTCCAGAAGAGGACGCTCAGGGCCAGGGTGTCCGGCCAGGCGTGGGGCATGCGTGAGCCCTCCCCTGTGCCCTGGGCCAGGGCGCTGAGTGGGCTTTGCCCTCAGTTTGTGCCTGCAGATGGGAACGCCGCCTGTGTGAAGGTGCTCCGGGACATCGAGCCTGGGGACGAGGTGACGTGCTTCTACGGTGATGGCTTCTTCGGCGAGAAGAATGAGCACTGTGAATGCTACACCTGTGAGAGGTGGGGACCAGGCAAGGGACGGGTGGGTTCAGGACAGGCTGGCTGCCCCAGGCATCTGGGCTTCTTGAGCCCAGAAATGCACCCTCGGGGCCCATCCCTGAGTGTGTTCAACCCCAGCCTCTCATCTCCCCTCCACCCGATCTCCCAGGAAAGGCGAAGGAGCTTTCCGAACGAGACCTAGGGAGCCTGCGTCGCCACCACGGCCCCTGGACAAGTACCAGCTACGTGAGACCAAGCGGCGGCTGCAAGGCCTGGACAGCGGCGGCCGACAGGGCCTGCTGGGCCCTCGGGTCTGCCTGCACCCGTCCCCACTGCGCCGGCACCCGTTCTGTGGTGAGCACCCTCCCTGCCATCCCGGCAGCCCCTACCCTGTGTGCTCCTGGTCATCTGTCTCCTTTCTTCTGAGCTCTCTGCCTAGCCTGGCACCCTCCCTCCCACCCTCAGCCCCTGGCAGGCCTTGCTGTTGAGCAGTTCTGCCTACATGGTTCCTCTGGGGAGTGCAGGGCACAGCCGCCTCCTTGTCCAGGGGAGGACCGGCCCAGCTTGCACTGACTTCACCTCTCCTTTGTTCCTCCTCTCCCTGCTACCTGGACCTTCACAGCCGCCTGCCAACCCCTGCGCCTGCCAGCCTGTAGCGTCCGCCCAGACACCTCACCCCTCTGGCTCCAGTGGCTGCCTCAGCCCCAGCCCCGAGTGCGGTCCCGGAAGCGCCGACGCCCCCGGCCCCAGAGGGCCCCAGTGCTCTCCACCCATCACGCCGCCCGCATCTCCCTGCACCGATGGGGAGGCTGTGGCCCCCACTGCCGCCTGCGAGGAGAGGCCCTGGTGACCCTGGGCCAGCCCCCCCGTGCCCGCTGGGTTCCCCAGCAGGACTGGCATTGGGCCCGGCGCTATGGGCTGCCTTACGTGGTGCGTGTGGACCTTCGTCGCCTGGCCCCAGCCCCACCAGCCACCCCAGCCCCTGCTGGGACCCCAGGCCCCATCCTGATCCCGAAGCAGGCCCTCGCCTTCGCCCCCTTCTCCCCACCCAAGCGCCTACGGCTGGTGGTCAGCCACGGCTCCATCGACCTAGATGTTGACGGTGAAGAGCTGTGACAGGCCGGACAGGGAGGCCCAGCAGGGAGAGAGGGTCTCTCTCCTAGCTACTCCCCAGGACCTTCAGAAGGAGCCCTTGGACCTCTGGGAGGGAGCTGACCCTTGACTCCAGCATAGCTCTGACCCTGGAACGGGGTTGGTTTGGATGCCCCCAGGGATCTGACCCCTGACCCTTTGTGACTGCTGACCCCTGAGCCACCCCCACTCCCACAGGGAGCCCTGGCCATTTGCTGCCCTTCCCACCCCTGCCCCAGCCTCAGGACTGCAGGAGCCATCCACCTCCCTCAGCCCCTTCCTCCCCAGGGAGCAAAGCCATAAGGGGCAGGGGCCACCCCACGGCATCTCCCCGGAAGTACAGGCCTCAGGAGGAGGTGGAACTGACGGAGGGGTGGCACTCCCCGGAGACTGCCCTCACGAGGGGACTGGGTTCGCTCTCAGCTCTGCAGCTGTCTACGGTGGGGGGAAGGTTGGGGGGTGTCTGGGGGCATGTTCCCCTCACTACCCCCTGTGGGTCTCAGGGAGGCCGGGTGCGACCTCATCTTTCTCATGGTGCTATCCTGGTGCTATTGGGGTGGGGGGCTCCCTCCCCTCCCCCACACCAGAAAGGGGTATGTTGGGGGATTGGAAGCACTTGAACTTTTTATTTTATTAAAACCTTGTTATAAGCAGCACCCTTGGCGGTGTTTTGTTTTGGCTTATGTTTTCAAGGGATATGGGGAGGGTGAGACCGTCGGCTGTGCTGGTGAGAAGGGGAAGAGGCAGCCCAGGCCTGCAGCCCTGAGAGCTGTCGGGAGAGGGATTTGGGAGGGTGACGGACTAGGGGGCCTGAGGCTGGAGCCCCATCCCCACTCGGGCTGTGCTTATAAAAATGCCTTCAGACCCATCCTCTCCTGGGAGCGGGTCCTCCCATTTTCCAGGCGAGGCCAACAAGGTTTAGCAAGCAGAGTGACTTGCCAAGGCCACATGGGGACTTGAGGGCTTTTGAGGGCCCTTCTCCCTTCTGGCACTTCTCAGTGAGAGGCCCCTCCCACATCTCAGTCCAAACAGAGAGAGACTGGTGGGGGCTGGCTGAGTGGGGGTGTGGGGGCTGCCCAGGACACCAGAGCCAGGCCTGGGGGAGGCGGCGCTGACGGGGCCTTCCTCAGCTGTGGCATCTTGGACTTTGTGGTGCCTGAGACCAGGATGATGAATCTTGTTTCTTCAGGTCCAATCCAGGATCTGGATTTTGCCAGGGCGTCTTAACTCTCCTTGTAATCTCGTTTTGCAAAAGGACTAACAGTGGCTGACCGTGAGCACTCCCTGATCCCAGGTACCTCCAGCTTCTCACAGACACTTTTCTCATTGGGGCCACCGAGCCCGTCTTACTTGGGCAGCTACAGGTCACCTGCTGGCTCCAGGACCCCCCTGTGCACCTCCCCTTGAACAAGCTTACTGTGGAGGTGGACGAGGCCAGGCCGCAGGTATCAGGGAACTCTCCTTGGCCCTGGTGGAGAGGGAGCAACGGGGGAGGAGAGGCCACAGTGAGACCCATAGGAGCACCTCCGCAGTGGCCCTGGGAGGTGGGGACAAGGGGGCAGTTGAGAACGGGTCAAACCTTGTTTACTTTAAAACTCGTTTAGATACATTGGATAATATGGCCTGTCCTATTTCTTTTGCAGGGAGAAAATTCCTCTTTCTTGTAGTACAAATCCTGCTAAACCCTGTTTGTTTTCTTTCTCATGTTAAAAATAAGGATGGAGAGAGCTCCAGGTCGTCAAATGGCAGAGAGATGGCTCCAGTAGCAGTCCCCAGGGATTTGTCTCTGAATAATGAACTGAAGCCATGCCGTTCGTTTCTTTCCTTTTTCTTTTTTGAGACAGGGTCTCGCTCTGTGGCCCAGGCTGGAGTGCAGTGGCGCCATCTCGGCTCACTGCAACCTTCGTCTCCTGGATTCAAGCAATTCTCCTGCCTCAGCCTCCCGAGTGGCTGGGACCACGGGCGCACGCCACCCCGTCAAGCTGATTTTTAAAATTTTTCATAGCGATTGTGTCTCACTGTGTTGCTCAGGCTGGTCTCAAACTCCTGAGCTCGAGCAATCCTTCTGCCTTCGCCTCCCAAAGTGCTAGAATTACAGGTGTGAGCCACCACGCCCGGCCTTTTGTTTATGAAATTCAGGTGCTGTTGCAACAGCTCTTAGAAAAAGAGGGCAGCAGGCCGGCTCAAGCCTGTAATCCCAGCACTTTGGGAGGCCGAGACGGGTGGATCATGAGGTCAGGAGATCGAGACCATCCTGGCTAACACGGTGAAACCCCGTCTCTACTAAAAAATACAAAAAACTAGCCGGGCGAGGTGGCGGGTGCCTGTAGTCCCAGCTACTCGGGAGGCTGAGGCAGGAGAATCGCTTGAACCCGGGAGGCGGAGCTTGCAGTGAGCTGAGATCCGGCCACTGCACTCCAGCCTGGGCCACAGAGTGAGACTCCGTCTCAAAAAAAAAAAAAGAAAAAGAAAAGAAAAAGAGGGCAGCAGAGCAGGGAGTCTTAGCTGAGGACTCATGGGTGGACGTCGGAACTTCCAGGAACCTTCGGAAATCTTCAGTGTTGAGAGTACACATTCATATGCACGTTTTTTACAGGGGGTTCAGAGTGTTCATCACATCCTCACAAGTTTCTATATCCGCCCCACCCCACCCCCAACAAAAAGGGCTAAAAACCAGGGGCAAGCCGGGCGCAGTGGCTCACACCTGTAATCCCAGCACTTTGGGAGGCCAAGGCGGGCGGATTGCCTGAGATTGGGAGTTTGAGACCAGCCTGACCAACATGCAGAAACCTTATCTCTACTAAAAATACAAACTTAGGTGGGCGTGGTGGCGTATGCCTGTAATCCCAGCTACTCGGGAGGCTGAGGGAAGAGAATCATTTGAACCCGGGAGGCGGAGGGCGTTAAGAAACTGGCGATCAGGGTTTCCCGGCCTCCACACTGCTGCCATGCTGAGCTGGTGTTTCTGGGCAGGGCATGTCCTCTCCTATGCATTGCAGGATGTTGGGTAGCTTCCCTAGTCTTCACCCACTAGATGCCAGGAACATCCCTCTGTCCCCAACCAAAAATGTCTCCAGACCTTGCCTGATGTCCCCATGGGGGCCAGAGTCAGCTTCTGGCTTGAGCTGGGCAGCAGCTCAAGTGGTGCTTGGGGAGTGGTGGGGGAGGGGAGACGCCAGGACCATAGTGATCATTCTCTCTCTTTGCTGCGGCATGGATGGTCAGGACAGCCTTAGGGGCTTGGGCGCTCTCAGAGTCACGTTGCCGACGCAGACAGGAGCTGGCCTGGGGAGGGTAGGTGTCCTGCTTGGGGTCCCTCAGCTGCAGGGGACCCTGGCTTCCACAAAGTTTGAGGAATTCATGCTGGCACTTCCCAGCTGGCAGGACCTGGGGGCATCCTGGTGGAGCCGGGGCCTGGGGTCATGAGTTCACCAAGGTAGCTCAAGGACAGGAAGAAACGGTGGTGGTGGAGGGTCCTCTGGTCGAAGCCTGGGCCTGAGAACCCTGTCATACACTTGGAGGCCAGAGCAAGGGAAACAAGGAACTCGGAGGCTGGTGGCTGTAGGTGAAGGTGGAAGGAAGTTTAATGAAACAGGAAACACTGACAACCAGGGCTGACCTGGGTGTGTGGCACTAGAACTGCTCTCAGCGTTTGGGTGGCAGGCAGGCAGGGCCCTAGCCAAGGACTCCCCACCCTGACCCCGTGTCTCCCTGTGCGGGTGCTCTCTGACTGCAAGCTAGTCAACCGGATGCCTCCAAGAGCTCCAGGACCGGTTTCTGGGGCCATCCCTGGGCTGTCTGTCTGGTCAATCAGTCCCACTGTCCGGTACAAGATGGGGCACCAGAATTGAGCCGACATGCTGATTCGAGTGACTCAGATTGTCTCTCTGGCTAGAGACCCCACACACTGAGAAGAGCCAGACACTGTTCTGCTTTGTATGTTTTCACATTGCCGTCCTCCCCACAGCCCTAGGAAGTGGAGGTGTCATTATTATGTCATTGTTACCATATTTCAGATGAAAAGACCACAGTGCGGAGGGGCTAGCGAACTCGTCCCAGGCCACATGGTTAGTAAAGCTTCAGGGCCTGGACCGAACTCATTTTCAGAACCGTTTGGGCTCTGCCACCTTCAGGATGGGGAAGAGGGAAACCCAGAGAGAGGGGGCGAAGCTGCACCCCTAGGAGCCAAGGGACAGTGAGTAGGAGAGGCAGAGCAGGTGGCCTTCAGGATCCATGATCTGGAGGCTGGGAGGATGGAGCAGGTTCTGAGGGAAGAACTGCAGAGGGAGGGGAAAGTGAATGATGGAAGGATTGAAGAGACGGGGCTGGAGGAGGAGAAAGAAGTGGGGAGGAGGAGGTTGAGCAAACAAGGAAGCAGGTGTTCTGGGTGGGGGCAGGAATAAGTGGAGTGGCCTCAGTTTTCTCTGACCTGGGAGGTTGCCGAGACTGTGAGGCTGGCATTGGGGGTCTCAGGACGCGGCTGCTAGACACCAGGGAAGGCCAGCTGGAGCACATGTTGGAGGTGTTCGGAGTTTGCACATGTAACGGTCCACCAGGCTGTAGGCCAGGCCGGGCAGGTCTGCCCCTGCCCCCGGCTCAGGCATCAGTGGGGCAGTGGCAGCTGCAGAAGGGGTCGGGAGTGTGAGAATGCTGAGATGAGGTCTGGAAGCAGTGAAGAGAAGATGGGAGGAGGAGGAAGGAGGAAGGCTGGCCAACAGCGCAAAAATGGGTTCTAGACACGGCTCTGGGGAGGTCATGAGGCTGTTGTGGCTGCACAGCTGTGGTGCCCTGTGCTTGGGACGTTACCTGGGTGACCTCACCAACTTAGTTCCATTCTGTGACTCAGAGAGGGGTCCTGCCCCCGTGGTTCTACCAGCGCCTCTGTGCCTGCGGCAAGGCTCTGGGGACGCTGCATGAACAGGAAGCCCTCCTGTAGCTGAGTGCACACCCTGTACCCTCACCCCATTCTCGGGCTGTGGTCAGAGACGGACTCAGGAGGCCAAGATCTCAGAGGTGGCGTCATCCTGGGGGATGGCCCGTCTAGGGTGTGTCCTGGGCAGCGTGGAGGGCAGGTGATGGACAGGTCATCACGGAGCAGGGAGCAGGATGGAGTCAGTCCTCTGAGCTCACCCAGCTCCACCTCCCCTGATAATGGGGCCCTGAGCCATCTTAGCTTGCCTTGGGGAACCTTGGGTTCACACAGGTCAAGAAGCTTGTCTAGGGTCACCCTGCAAGTTGTCATGATTAGTTGTAGTCACCTTTGAACCCTGGGGTTGAACAGGGCCTAGAGGACCGCTTCAGTCAGAGGTTGGGACTTCCCCCTCCTAAGAGCCCCTTTGGGAGGCTGATAGTTCAGGGAGCACCAGTTGGGAAAACCAGCACCCCAGGCTGACTGGTCTCACGGCTCCCTCAGCAGGACCAGGCTAGAACCCTAGGGCTCTGTGCCAGGATGGGGGAGGAGTAGAGAATGATTCCGAGGGAGCTCTGAGTGTCCTCTGGGTGCTGGCAGTCTGGCGGGGGTCACGGGAGAAATTGTGGCGATATGTGTGGTAGGAGAGACCGACAGCTGCCTCTGCGGGGTGGGGGTGCGGGGTGAGCCTGATGCACTGGAGAACTGAGCAGGCTGCTACTCCTGGCTGTGGGTGTGGGTGCCAAAAGGGTGGACACCAGGGGACTCTGTTGGGAGTAAGCTGGCTCCCATGATGGGGATCTCGATGTTCTGGGAGGGGAAATGAGCCAGGTGGGAAGGGAGTGGTGGAGAGTCCAGAGAGTGGGGGAGGGAGGGATGGAGTCAGCTGTGGGTGGTACAAAGAAGACCCCTCAGGACCCCAGATGGGATGGATGGGGGTGGGATGGGGAAGGAGCCTGGGGAGACGGTGCAGGCAGGAAGGGAGTAGGGGAAAGACTGAGGTGAGAGGTAGGTGTGGTGATTGAGAGGCAGGAACACCTTGGAGCCATCTAGGTGGGACAGTGTTGAGAACTGGGGACCCTGAGCTGGCTCACAGCTGTCAACATGAGGCATCTACCTGCTGGAATGGAGAGGGAGAAGGACGGGAGGCACTCGGCTTCCTATCTTAGGGCCCTGACTGCCGTCTCTGCCTGATGGAGCAGCAGTCCTTCACCTGCCCCTTATTAGAAAAAGCAGTGTTAGCCCGGACACAGGCACAGGGAGGATCCCCACCACCACCACGACGCACCGCTGGCTGGGCGTGAAGAAGAAACATCAGCAACAGCATAACATTATTCGTGGCTTAGACACTGGGAGGTAGGGGTGGGTAACCGAGGCCGGGCCTCCGCGAGACAAAAAGATGCAGGGTCACTGCATCTTCAGAGGAAGCCGCGCTGGGGCAGTCAGATTTTGCCGGCAAAAGTCCCGTTCTTGATCTGCTCATTCCAGCTCTCCACCTGGGAAGCAGAAAGGCAGGGAGCGGGACGCCGGCTCAGCCTCAGCCGAGCCCTCCCCACGCCTGGCCCGGCGCCCCCTCTGCCGACTCACCCAGCTGGTGGGGCACAGCGAGTGGTACACGCGGTAATAGTACTCGCAGGGCTGCGTGCTCTTCCCACGGCGGGTCCTGATCTTGAGGCAGCGGTGGTAGTCTGTGGGGGGCGGGGTCACGCGACAAGCCACGCCCGTTCCAGGACAGGCCCCGCCCTTCCACTACTCGGTCCCTCCCAGTTCTTTCCTGCTTCGCCCCGCCTCCCTCTACCCCCGAGGCCTCCGTCCCGCCCCTCCCAGCGAGGCCCCAACCCCTACCTCCCTCACACTGCTCCTCCTAGCCAGACCCTGCCCTTACCTACCTTGCCCCACACTTTCCAAATCAGGCCTTGCGCCTACCAACCTCGCCCCGCCCCGCCCCTCCCGGCTCAGCCCCGCCTTTTCTCGGCCCGGCCTCGCCCCTATCAACCTCGCCCCGCCCCTCCCGGCTCAGCTTCGCCTTTTTTCGGCCCGGCCCCGCCCCGCCCCTACCAACCTCTCCCCGCCCCACAGCTCAGCCCCGCCCCCACCAACCCAGGCCCGCCCTGCCTCCCACCCTAACGGTCTCCACGGGACTACGGGTGGGAGTGGCCCTCCCTGCCTTCCCTCGTCACACCCTGCGCCCCCCATAACCTGGCGGAGCAGGTCTCACCCAGGAAGTTCTGGTAGCAGTTACGGGTCTGGTTCTGGTTGGGGAAGCGCGGGTCGAAGGGCGGCGTTGCCCATTTCCCCTTGGGGGGCTCCTGGGCTTCCACATCCAACATCCTAGAAGGAGGCAACTTCTGCGGGACGGGACGGGGACTCCGTGGGGCCGAGGGGGCGCCCTCGCTCCGACCCGTCCCCCAATCCGGACCCCCGCCCCTCAACCCCACCCGTCGTGCCCTCACCAGCCTGACGTCGGCGGCCACTGGATCTGCTGTACGACGGTCCCGGGTGCCGCTGGCTTCTGAGTCCGCGGGGTGCGGTCCCACCCGGCTCGGGAGAAACGCACCCGCGGCCAGATTGGCTCGGACGCCGGAGCCCCAGCCAATGGGAGCAGTCGTGCGCCGCGGGCCTGGTAGGGGCGCCCCCACCCGCCCCTCGCTCCCTGACGCCCCCTCGGGGACCCGCGCGCGCACAGGCACTGAGGTGCGACCTGCTGAGTCTCAGACTCAAGCTTTAATCGCTGCGAAGTTGGGCGGCTCCACGGGCTCGCCCCGCCCCCGCCCCCCAATATATAAAGGCATATCGATAGTTCTGGTATCTACCGGACGGGGCGAATCCCCCCAAGCGGCCTTTCCACATTCTGTTTCTTACAGTCGGTGCGCACAGAACCCTGGGGGCCTGTGGAGTTAAGAGGAAAGAGTGGCGGTGGGGTCAGGGCTCCTGGGACCCCCCCTTCCCCCCGTTCCTCCCCTCTGCCCTCCCCCCAGCCCTCCCCCCTCCTCCTCTCGGTTCCCCCTTCCCCCCCCCACCTCCAGGGTCTTAAAGGGTACCTGGCAGCGCTGGCCTCCTCTGGACAGTTTCCGACTGGGGTTGAGCCCCCCCCATCCGGCTACTCAAAGTGCTGGGAGTGCTGCAGGCTGCAGGGAGAAAGCAAGCAGAGAGAGCTCTGGGGGACAGGGTAGGGAGAGGGGGTACCCAGGGCTTTAAGAGCTGCAGATGCCTGGCTTAGGGGAGCGTCCTCCAGGGCGGGTTTTGCTGTGTGTTTGGTTCACTGTTGTATCTGCCTGGGGCAGAGCCTGGCAGTAGTAAATGCACAGTAAATCCGAGGTGGAGTCAGTGAGTCCTGGCTCCAGGGGCAGGCAAGTAACTGGAATCTGGGCAGGTGGTTTCACCTCTAGAACCCTGCTAAGCTTCTCTCCCTCCTGCCTGGTTAATATCAGGCCTGACTCACGATTGGTCACACTGACAGTCAAATGTACGAATTAAGAATCCCGGCCAGGTGCGGTGGCTCATCCCTGTAATCCTAGCAGTATGTGGGGCAGAGGCGGGAGGATTGGTTGAGCCCAGGAGTTTGAGACTAGCCTGGACAACATGGCGAAACCCCATCTCTACAAAAAATACCAAAGTTAGCCAGGCATGTTGGCACGTGCCCGTGGTTCCAGCTACTCAGGAGGCTGAGGCAGGAGAATCACCTGAGCCTGGGTCGGTTGAGGCTGCAGTGAGCTGTGATGGCATCACTGCACTTCAGCCTGGGCAACATGTGAGACCTCGGTTTTGTTTTGTTTTTTTTTGAGATTGAGTCTCACTCTCTCTCCCAGTCTGGAGTACAGTGGCACCATCTCCGCTCACTGCAAGCTCTGCCTCCAGGGTTCCCACCATTCTCCTGCCTCAGCCTCTGGAGTAGCTGGGACTACAGGCGTCCGCCACCATGCCCGGCGAGGATTTTGTATTTTTAGTAGAGGCGGGGTTTCACCGTGTTAGCCAGGATGCTCTCTATCTCCTGACCTTGTGATCCGCCCGCCTCGGCCTCCTAAAGTGCTGGGATTACAGGCGTGAGCCACCACGTCCGGCCCCAGAGACCTCTTTTCTACAAAAAATCAAAAACTTGGCCGGGCTTTTGGAGGCTGAGGCAGGAGGATCACTTGAGCCCAGGAAGATTGAGGCTGCCGTGAGCCATGATCACACCACTGCACTCTAGCCTGGGAGAGAGAGCGAGAGACTCTGTCTCTAGAGGGACTGCACTCTAGCCTGGCGATAGAGCTCACCTCCAACCCATGAGTAGCCACTCCCCTTCCTCCACACCAGGCCCCTGGCCTCCAACCATTCACTTTCTGTCTCTACGGGTTGGCCTGTTCTGGGCATTTCATGGAAATGGGGTCTCTGGCCTTTTGTGTCTGGCCCGTTTACTTGGCATGGTGTTTCTGAGGTGTTGCAGCCTAGAGACGCCCCTCTCTCCACATTCTCCTGACTGCTCCCATCAAGACTTCAACCCCAACCCCCACATCACTTCCACACTGGTAAATCCAGAGGTCTGACCCCAGGCCCCGCTTCCTTCACCTGACCACAGCGCTGTCTCCACATGGTGCTGAGACTCCCCCCTCTCTGGCTGCTCTGCTCTCCCTGACTCTGGCTCCTCTTTGCCCAAACACCTCAGACTTTTCTCCATCTCCACTCACTCGCCGGTGAATTCCTCCAATCTCACAGCCTGAGCTAACCTCTCTGTGCACCAGTGACTCCCCAAATTGCTTCCCCTGAGCTCCAGACTCGTGTCCAACTGCTTGCCCTGCATCTTCCCTGACACCTCAGAATCAAGGTGTCCGAAAGAGAGGTGTTCCTGAGCGCCCCCCAGAACCTACTCCCCTGCACTGCCGCCGCCTCCTCCGGGCATCTCGAACCCACATCCTCCCAGCCGTCTTCAAGTCAGCCTTTCTCTCACGTCACAAACCCCAACCCGCGAAGCAATCTATTGGCTCACTCTTCAAAGCATCTCCAGAGTCCCCCGCTTCTCCACACCTCCATCACCTCCCATCTTGTGCAAGTCACCATCATCTCCTACCTGGGTTCCTGCAGCCGCCTCCACCCTGTCCTCCAGGCACCCACTCTTGCCCCCTCTACATCCTCCACGCCCCAGCCAGAGGCAGCCTCTTCACACATAAATCAGTCCCCATTATTCTTCTGGTCCAAACCCTCCAGCTCGCTCAGAGTCAAAGCCAAAGTTCCTAAAATTGTCTGCCAAGTCCTCCACGAGGGGGGTCCCCCTGCTGCGCCGCTGACCGAGTCTCCACCCTGGGATCCCCGTGGTCCAGCACATTACAAACACTCCTGCCCCAGGGACTTTGCAGTGGCCATTCCTTCTGCTGGCATGCTTTCCCTGCAGATGGCCTCATGGCTTCCTCCGTCCTCTCCTCCAAGTCTTCACACAAACCACTCCAGCTCAATGAGGCTTCCCTAGACCACCTGGGCTGTGGTGGGGGCTGTCCTGTGCACTATAGGATGCTGAGCGGCATCCCTGGTCTCTACCTGCTAGAAGCCAGGAGCACATCCCACCACCACCAGCCCCATGGTCAGACGCTGTATCCCCACTGCCTAGAACAATGCCTGGCACAGAGTCGGCACTCATTATGTATCAGAGTGAAAGGGGGCCGAGCGTGGTGGCTCACGCCTGTAATCCCAGCACTTTGGGAGGCCAAGGCGGGCAGATCACTTGAGGTCAGGAGTTCAAGACCAGCCTGGCCAACATGGTGAAACCCCCGTCTCTACTAAAAATACAAAAATTAGCCGGGCGTGGTGACACACACCTGTAATCCCAGCTACGCAGGATGCCAGGAGGCGGAGGTTGCAGTGAGCCAAGATCATACCACTGCACTCCAGCCTAGGTGACAGCGTGAGACCCTGTCAAAAAAAAAAAAAAAAAAAAGGGGAAAGGAGGGAGTGATCGTCTCTATCTCATAAACAGCAGAGCTCACAGTAAATGCTAGCTGCTAACCCCCGCTACCTGGGTGGAAGGTTAAAGACACCCGATTCCTCCTGTATTTCCTCTGCCTTGGTGGCCGTGTTCCTCACAGTTTCAAGTTCTAAGAGCATGGGCAAAAGAATTTCTGAAGATGACCCCACAGTGGCCAGGGGGTGCTGGGCTGGCGTCTTCACGGGCTCCTGCGACAGTCTCTTGGGCTGCTGGGACGCCTTGGCTGTGGCCTCCGTCTTTGAGATGGGGGTCTCTGAGAAGGGGGATGACAGTAAGCCCTCCCACCGTGAGGTGGGCAGGGGGATAGGCGCCTGGGAGATTCCTTCCCTCTTGGGACTGGCAGAGGTGGGCTTGGAGCGAAGGGGCACCTTGGGCGGCCCCTTGGGGTCCCAGGGTGACCCTTTACTCTCGCCCCATTGCCGCTTGCCCTCCTTCACCCAAGTGTGCGACTCTGGCTGTTCTCTGACCACCACTGGCTGCCCCTCCGGTGAGGACAGCTGGCCTGGGTGGAAGGGCACTGAAGCCATCATTGACGTGGCAGACGCCTGCGAAGTCGCCAAGAGCCAGGAGGGAAGTGAGACCAGAGAGGGTCTCACGCGCTGCTCTTTGGAGTTGGCCAGGATCGTGAGCTTGGCGAGGGTGAGCGCTTCCACGGAGAAGGGCCTGCTGTGCTCCTGGGAGGGGCCCTCGACAGCCAGCTCCTTTGTCTCGACCCATCTCTTCCACTGCTCCAGCTCCTTGGATCTCATGCCAGGCGGGTCCAGGGACCTCTCTTCAAGCTTCGCCAAGTGGGCCTGGTCCTCCAACTTCCCCTGGCCCCTGAAGGCCTCCAGGGTCACCTCCTGGGTTTTGCTAACCAGGATGTCCTTGGACTCCTTCTTGGTCACAGTGAAGGGCGACTCCAGGGACTTGACCTGAGTCGTCATCACCACGTCTGTCTCCTGGGTGCCCACTGTCACCGCTGGCTCCGGTTTCCCTCCAGACTGGCTTCTCTCCAGCACAGCTCTTCCAGGAATTCCTGTTGGCAACACGTCGCCAGGGAGCCTCCCCCATGAGGCAGGCGAGCCCGGTGCCATCTGGTATTGGGGAGGTGAGGTCTGCAGAGCCTTTTGGGATGGCGCAGGGAGAAGCAGAGATTTCCTCTTTGGAGCAGTGGGGGACACAGCCTTCTGGGGAATGGTAGGTACAGATGGGGCCTTCTGAGATGGGGGTGGGGTCTTCTGGGGTGGGGCAGGTACGCCTGGGGCCTTCCAGGGAGGAGCTGATGCGGCTGGGGCCTTCCAGGGAGGAGCTGATGCAGCTGAGACCTTCTGGGGAGGAGCCAATCCAGGTGGGGGCTTCCACGAGGAAGCAGGTACAGCTGGGAGCTTCTGGGACTGGTCAACGAGGAATGGTGCCTTGCAAGACATGACAGGGCCCGTCTGGCAGGGTGGTGGCCCCCGCCCCTGGTGGGAGCCCATAGACCTGGCCTTTTCCCTGCCCCTGGGGATGGAAGAGTAGGGTGTGGAGAGGCGGGCAGCCGGGGGATAGGGAGCCAGGCCGGAGGCAGCAGATGACAAAGTGCTGCTCTCAGAATCCATGAGGTCTTCCATGTCCTGATGCCACAGGCACGGGTCCAGGGAGCTGCCGGAGCCCAGAAAGAAGCAGTCAGGGCTGTCAGCTGAGACACAGTACGAAGGGCTCTCAACCACATGTCCCTGGCCTGTGGCCTCCTCAGATGCAGATGTGCAGGCCTGTAGATGGACAGAGGGCAGAGGATGCGTGGTCAGGATGCATGGAGACCCCAGACCTGGGAGGGCAGACCCCAGCCCCTCCTCCCTCAGACCCAGAGGCAGAGGATGCGTGTCAGGATGCATGGAGACCTCCCAGACCTGGGAGAGGGCAGACCCCAGCCCCTCCTCCCTCAGACCCAGGAGTTCAGGCCCCCCGGCCCTCCTCCCGGACTCAGGAGTCCAGGCCCCGGCTCCTCCTCCCTGACCCAGGAGTCCAGGCCCCGGGCCCCTCCTCCCTCGGACCCAGGAGTCCAGGCCCCCGGCCCCTCCTCCCTCAGCTCTGGGGCCTGGGCCCCGCCCTGGGTATAAGGCTGGCCTTTGGAGAGGACTGTGTCTGCTTGGCCATGCTGGAAATGATGCTGAAGATGGTCCAGATGGTGATGCTGGTCTTCTCTGGATGGGGGAGCAGTCTGAGCCCTTTTGGGCGGGAACCAGAGCCACGCGGTGTGGCAGGGGGTGGGGTGGGTTGATCTTACCAGAAAAGTGGACTTGGGTGTGAGTCCTGTCGGGGTGGAAGTCTGGGTGGGACCTGCAGGAGCAATACCGTGGGACTTTGGTGGCATCTGGGCTGGGGTCTCCCACCTTCTCCCACCCACCCACCGGCAACAAGACCCCACGCCCACGTCTTTTCTGCAGGTTTCTTCCCGATGTCAGCATGCTCCAGCTGCGACCAGATGAGGGGCACACAGTCGCCCACGGCCTGAGACTTGAAACTGCGCTTGCGTGCCTGGCATGGGTGAGGAAGGGACGGTTAGACAGGGGCAGCCCCTAGGGCGCGCACCGCCCCGCCAGCTCACCTTGGCCTTCCTCTGTCTCCAAGTGGCCACCGGAGACTTCTTATAAGGAAAGTTGTGCTTAGCAACCTTGACTGGGAAGAGAGAAAACATCCTGGATCAGGGACCCCAGGGGAGGGCACGAGGACCTACCCCAGGAGCTTGTGGAGGCCCCGACCAAGGGAGGGGGAAGAGCCAAAGGGTGCAACTCCGTCCCTGCTGGGGGAGAACCCGACACCCAGAGGTCCTGAAGAACAGCAGGGCCTGCTCACCTGCATGTCTGCTGAAGGGCTGGTCCTGTGGAGACAGAAGGAGGCAGGAGGGGCCTGGGCTTCCACATCTCCATAACCTACCCAGCCAGAGGTCTAGGCCCCCTCCTGCTCCCAGGACCCTGCGATCCAGCTCCTCCTCCCTCAGACCCAGGAGTCCAGATCCAGCCCCTCCTCCCTCACAGCCAGAGGTCTAGGCCCTCCTGCTCCAGGACCTCACACCCAGCTCCTCCTCCTCAGACCCAGGAGTCCAGATCCAGCCCCTCCTCCCCTGTGACCCAGGAGTCTAGACCCAGCCTTCCTCCTCAGACCCAGGAGTCCAGAGGGATCCAGCCCCTCCTCCTCAGACTCCAGGAGTCCAGACCCAGCTCCTCCTCCCCTCGTGATCCCAGGAGTCCAGACCCAGCTCCTCCTCCCTCAGACCCAGGAGTCCAGGCCCCCAGCCCCTCCTCCTCAGACCCTGGAGTCTGTGATCCAGCTCCTCCCCTGTGACCCAGGAGTCTAGACTCCAGCTCCCTCCTCTCAGGACCCAGGAGTCCAGATCCAGCCCTCCTCCTCAGACTCCAGGAGTCTAGACTCAGCCTCCCTCAGACCCTGACCCAGGAGTCCAGATCCAGCCCCTCCTCCCTCAGACCCAGGAGTCCAGGCCCAGCCCCTCCTCCCTCAGACCCAGGAGTCCAGGGCTCCAGCCCCTCCTCCCTCGATTCAGGGATCCAGTCCCTAGTCCCTCCTTCCTCAGATCCAGGATTCCAGGACCCCAGCCTCTCCTCCCTCAGACCAGGAGTCCCCCAGCCCCTCTTCCCTCAGACCCAGGAGTCCAGACCCCCAGCCCCTCCTCCCTTGACTCAGGGGTCCAGGACCCCAGCCCCTTCTCCCTCAGACCCAGGAGTCCCCCCAGCCCCTCCTCCCTCAGACCCAGGAGTCCCCCCAGCCCCTTCTCCCTCAGACCCAGGAGTTCAGATTGCCAACCCGCCACCCTCAGAACCAGGAGTCCAGGCCCCCAGCCCCTCCTCCCTGAGATCCAGGAGTCCAGACCGCCAGGCCCTCCTCCCTCGACTCAGGGGTCCAGACCCAGCCCCTCCTCCCTTGACTCAGGGGTCCAGGCCCCCGACCTAGACTTTGGGCTCTTGGTCCCAGTCCCCTCTGGATCTGGCCAGGGAGTTCCTAGGGCCTGCCATGCCCTGGGCTGTGGAGCTGGGGTCCCACCTGCAGGTTCTGCAGGTGCGGGAGTTCCTGGGGCCTGCCCTGGGCGTGGAGCTGAGGTCCCTGGTGCCGGGAGTTCTGGGGCCTGCCATGCCCTGGGCTGTGGAGCTGAACCCCACCTGCTGGGGTGCCAGGTGGAGGCAGGTGTCCTGGGGCCTGCCATGCCCTGGGCTGTGGAGCTGGGGTCCCACCTGTAGGTGCCAGGTGGAGGCAGGTGCTTTGGCCAGGGGCACATCCAGGGGGTCCGTGCACATGGTCCTGGGGGCCCAGGTGGGAGGCGGCTCCTGAAGCAGGTTGATGAGGCGGATCCAACAGTGGAACAGGAAGCCTGCCTCGTTGTCGGGGGCGTCCAGGGCCAGGTAGTACTGGCGGCCCGAGACCAGGCACAGCTTCAGGCGCCAGGCAGAGAGGTCATGGACGCAAAGGTGGACGAGGTCCAGGGGGATCATCCTGGGAGAGGGAGAAGGGAGCGTCTAGAGCAGGAAGGGCAGAGGGGGCGGCCAAGGGGTTGGGAGATGCGGCACCTGGTCAGCACGAGGCCCGAGCAGTCCCCGTCCTCGGCAGGCTGGCCGATCAGCAAGATGTCGGGCAACACCAGGCCTGGCAGGGAGGCAGCCACACCCATGGCCAGCCGGTTGGTTCTGTGATTCACGAACACTGGGCCCCCTTGATGGGTCACCTGGGGCAGTCAGGGAGAGGCGCTGGAACCACTCCTTCCTCCAGCACCCGTGGCCTGAGCCTCCCTCCGGATCGTCCCCTACACAGGGACGGCTAAATCCCATTCCCTCTCAAAATCCCCCAGCCCGGGTGGCCTCGCTTCCCCTCTGCCCCTCTCAGCCCCAGGGCACTGGGAGCTGGAGACCTGAACAAAGTTACTCTCGAACATGGGCAGTGGACGGAGGGGCAGGTATTCGCCCTTCTGGAGGGTCTTTTGCAGCTCCCCCAGAACAGGGACCCACTTCGGGGTGCCCTGGAGCGGCTCAAGGCGCCTCCTGTTTCGAAGCCAGATCATGGTGGCGGTGGGTACTGGTTTAGGGACCCAGAACCAGGTGTGCAGGCCTCCCAGCCCCGGCCCACCAGCCTTGGCCCCTGGGGCTTCACGGGTGCCTGGAGCTCAGAGTTACAGAGCGTGGAGATGCCCCAGGCTGGGAGACTCGGGCCTCGGCCATGGCCCTGCCAGGGTGGACAGCAGGGGCCGGGGGGAGGAGCCTCTGGTGGAGGGGCTTTGTGACCTCATCGGACACACAGGGGCCTCTTCCGGGAACTCTCCGGGGACCGTGGGCTCTCTTCTCCTCCAGGGATATAGCCTGGAGTTTTTTTTGTTCATTTGTTTTTTGTTTTTTGAGAGGGAGTTTCACTCTGGTTGCCCAGGCCGGAGTGCAATGGCGCGATCTTGGCTCACCGCAGCCCCTGCCTCCTGGGTTCAAGCGATTCTCCTGCCTCAGCCTTCCCAGTAGCTGGATTGCATCTTTAGTAGAGACAGGGTTTCTCCATGTTGGTCAGGCTGGCCTTGAACTCCCGACCTTAAGTGATCCACCTGCCTCAGCCTCCCAAAGTGCTGGGATTACAGGCGTGAGCCACCGCACCTGGCCAGCCTGGAGTCTTAAGGGCTGAGATGGGTGAATCAAAACTCCAGGCCCAGGATGGGCACCCCCAACTGCAGACCCAAACTAGTGACAACACGGGGCCCCTGGAAGTCTGTCTGGGTTATTGTAAAGGGAAAATTAACTAAAGGGTCTGAATTATCGTCCCTACTCTGCCATTGGCCCTTCTCCAGGCCCTGGGTAAGACCCAAATCCCTACTGAACCTGTTTTTCCGTATCTCATGTGTGTGCCTGTTGCAAGGGTTCCTCAATACCAAGATGCAAAGAGATCTTTGGGAAAGAGCCAGACATGGCACAGAATCCCACTTCCACCTCTCCCTAGCTGTGTGACTTTGTGCAACAGAGTCCCTACTCCTTGTCTGAGACTCAGTTTCCCAAGCCTGTAAAACAGGGCGTATTCAAGGGTCCGGGAGATTTGTGTAAGTAAAAAGCCCACACTTAGTGCACAGCCCTGAGAGGCCCACTCAGCGGTCAACTTTGTCCCCTCCTGAGGGCTTGTTTTTGGAGGGGAGGAGGCTGTTATTCTGTTCTTCTAAAAATAGTGTTTATTATTTTTAAAATGTGTCATGCAAAATACACAGTCATGGCAGAAATTCTGTAAAATACAGACAATCATAAACATCAAAAGTCACCCACAATCCCACCTCTCTCCTTTGACCTGGAGACAGTCATTGTCAACATTTGGCTTATTTCCCTTTAGGGTTTTTTTTTTTTTTTTTTTTTTTTTAAATCCATATATAGAAAGAAAAACACAAAAATTGGAATCGCATCATGCAGTGGTTTTGTAGCTGTTTCATGTCAGGACATCGTTTTTTTCTTTTTTGAGACAGGATTTTGCCACGTCTCCCAGGCTGGTCTCGAACTCTTAGACTTCAGTGATCCACTCGCTTCGTCCACCCAGAGTGCTAGGATTACAGGCGTGACCACCATGCCTGGCCAATGTCAGGCTATCTTTCTATATCCGAAGCAGGCCTCTCTCCTTAGCCTCCCTGAATGCTAGTCCCTGCTCTGGGTGGCCGGGTGGCATTCCATCCACCGATGCACCATGTTGCTTAACCCTTACCTGTTGGATATCTGGATTGTTTCCAATTTGCTATGGTAAACACAGCCATAATGAACCATCTTGACCTTGCGGCTTTGTCACATATGGGTACTGTTAATCACAGGGAGACTTCTGGAACCTTCCATTAAATATTTATGGAAGACCTATATAGGTCAGGTGCGGTGGCTCACACCTGTAATCCCAGCACTTTGGGAGGCCAAGGCAGGAGGATCACCTGAGGTCAGGAGTTCGAAACTAGCCTGGTCAACATGGTGAAACCCTGTCTCTACTGAAAATACAAAAGAAATAAATAATTAGCCGGGCGTGGTGGTGCACGCCTGTGATCTCAGCTAATCGGGAGGCTGAGGCAGGAGAATCGATTAAACCCGGGAGGTGGAGGTTGCAGTGAGCTTAGATTGCACCACTGCACTCCAACCTAGGCAACAGAGCGAGTCTCCATCTCAAAAAACAAAGAGCCCTGTGCAGTGCGGAGCCCCAGGCGAGGCTCAAACTCTGCCTCCACAGAGCTGTCTGGGTGACTGACGGTCTCCCAGTCCCTGCCCCGCCCACTCGGGAGCTCCACCTGCCCTGCCCCAGTTACCCGAGCATCCAGCCCCAGCTGTCAGACAAATCGCCCTCAAGTGGATATGTATGACACATTTAATTCCTTGTTCTCCGTCTCACAAAGGTTTCTCACATTTTTGTACAAAAACCCAGGCTTCCCTTTCCCCTCCCTCCCCACCCCAACATGAAAAGTAATTGCTTAAATAAATAGTATGTATTCCTGCCCAGGCCTCGAGGGGGAGGAGCCAGGGCAGAAGTCTGTGGACACAAGAATCCGGGACCCCAGCTCCCTCCTCCTTGGGGACCCAGGAGTCCACCTGCTTCCCACCCCCGCTCCTGAAATAAATAAGTATAAATAAGGCACAGATGCCCCCCAGGCCTCATGGAAGGACTGTCTCTAACTAGGGGGAGATAAAGGCAGGGGGATCACCTGGCTGTTTCGCCCCCAGTACCGAAATAAATAAATAAATAAGATGTGGCTTTGGAAGGACGGTGGTGGCTCTGGGCCTCGGGTCACAGCCGAGTCTTCAGCAGCAGTAGCCCCCTCACAGCCCAGTCAAGTGTCAGGTGCAGCCCCCCCAGGATGGCGTGGGCGGCCCTGATGCCCCCCCAGGTTGAGGAGGGGGGCGCCAGCGGGGGCGCCGGCGGGTCTGGGGGCAGCTGGGGCAGGGCCAGGCGGGACATCTGTGGGGAGAGGAGAGAAGGTGAACCACAGGTAGACGGTGCAGCGGGGGTGCAGGGCAGGGGCGACGTGGAGCTGCAGCTGAATCGGGGCTGGGGAACCTCCAGGCTGCATATTCACAGGGGGACTGTGGTGTGTGGGGTGAAGTGTTTAGGCTGGGAGCTCTTCAGGGTGTGGGGTTCAGAAAATTGAGGCTGGGGTCAGGATGGGCTTCCAGAGCTAAGTGTGGGGGCTGGGGGTGAAGTCTGTGGAGTCAGGGCTGGCATCTTAGTTGCAGGTGAGGGATCAGGCCTGGGGGTTGTGAGGGTTGCCAGGGCTAGAATCTCAGCGCTGGGCTTTTGTTGTTGTTGTTTTAAAAAAAAATTAAACCTCACGCCTGTAATCCTAGTAGTTTGGGAGGCCCAGGCGGGTGGATTGCCTGAGCTCAGGCAATCCGGTCTCTACTAAAATAGAAAAAAAATTAGCCGGGCATGGCAGCATGGGCCTGTAGTCCCAGCTACTCAGGAGGCTGAGGCAGGAGAATCGCTTGAGCCTGGGAGGCAGAGGTTGCAGTAAGCCGAAATGGTGCCATTGCACTCCAGCCTGGGCAACAGAGCGAGACTCTGTCTCCAAAAAAAAAAAAAAAATAAATAAATAAATAAATAAATAAATAAATAAATAATAATTAAGAGACAGAGTCTTGCTATGTTGCCCCGGCTGTCTCAAACTCATGGCCCCAAGAGGTCCCTCTGCCTTGGCCTCCCATGCCTTGGGATTACAGGAGTGAGCCACTGCGCCCGGCCAGGGCTGGGGTTTCAGAGAGTGTCTGGGGTCTGTGGGCTCCAGTGTAGGGTCCGGCCCTGGATCTCAGGGCTGAAGTCCTAGAGGTGGGATCTCTGGGTTCCAGTTCAGGAACTCATGGGTGAAGGCTGGAGTCTCAGAGCTAGAAGTTGGAATTTGAGATCCAGGGTGTTTGGAGCTAGGCCCAGGAACCAGGGTTTGAAGGCTTCTGGGTTCAGGGCTTTGGGGCTGGCTTTGGAAGTGAGGGTCTTGGGGCTGTACAGGCACAGGCTCAGGGTCTGAGGTCTCGGGGTTTTAGATGTGGGGAGGGAGACATAGGGCCTCAGGGCTCAGGGTCTAGGGCCTTGAGGTCTTGGGTTTGTAGAGCCAGGGTCCCAAGGCTGGCTTTGGGCCAGGGTCTTGTATCTTAGGGTCTGGGATCTTTAAGGTGTCAGGATCTCAGGTCCAGGGCCTGGGGTCTCAGTCCTGGAGATCCATGGTTTTTTTTTTTTTCCTCTCTCTCTCTCTCTTTTTTTTTTTTTTTTTTTTTTTTTTTTTTCTTTTTTTGAGAGGGGGAGTTTCACTCTTGTTACCCAGGCTGGAGTGCAATGGCATGATCCCAGCTCACTGCAACCTCTGCCTCCCAGGTTCAAGCAATTCTCCTGCCTCAGCCTCCCAAGTAGCAGGGACTACAGGCATACATCACCACACCTGGCTAATTTTGTATTTTTAGTAGAGACGGGGTTGCGCCATGTTGGTCTGGCTGGTCTGGAACTCCCGACCTAGGGTGATCCACCCGCCTCGGCCTCCCCCAAAGTGCTGGGATTACAGGCGTGAGCCACCGCGCCCGGCCAGGTCTGTGGTTTTCAATGCCATGGGGCCAGGGTCTCCAAGTCTTGAGTTGAGGATTTGAATTCCCAAGTCTTTGGGCTTCAGGGTAGGGTCTTGGGTCTTAGGGGCTGGGATATGGGGACTTTGAGGTCATAGATGATGGAGTCTCAGAGTCTTGGGGTGAGGATTTGGAGTTTCTGGGTGGGATTTGGGGGTCTAGAGCCTCAAGGTCTCAGGGCCACAGGATCTTGGGGCTGTAGAGGCAGGGTCTCAGAGCAGGGCTGTTGCACTTAGGTCTGGGGTCTCAGGCTTCAAGGACTCAGGCCACAGGATCTTGGGGCTGGGGTGGGGGTCTGGGGTGTCAGGTCTTGGGAACAGGACATACCAGGAGCTGCAGCCGGCGCAGCAGCCGGTCCAGCCGGGTCTGCAGGGTGCCCAGCTCTGGCTCCAGGGTCTTCAGGGAAGAGCCCATTGCCCGACGCAGCCACTGCACATGCCGCAGGTAGGACAGTAGGTCCGCTCGCAGCCTTGTCAGCACACTCGGGAGCTGAGGACAGAGCCAGGACATCAGAGAACACCCAGCCAGTGCCCGCTGTGCCCCTCATCCTCCCCACCCCCTTTACTCCCTGCCTCCCGCCTTGTCCCCAGCCCACTCCCCTGCCCTTACCTGTAGAGCTCCCAGTGCCCCCGCGCTCATGGCCAGGGTGGGCAGGGAATCCAGGTTGTGGTCCCCGTCAGCTGGGAATTTGTCCTTCTGGAAGGGAAAAAAGGCTGTGAGGGGGCCCCTGCCCAGCCTAGGGGCTCCCTCCATCCCCCATGCCAGGCCCCCAACTCTTCCTCTCCCTCACTCTGCCACCCGAGAGCCCAGAACCCCTTCAAGTGGCCTGCCCACAGACATCTCTCCGTTCCTCTCTGCCTCTCACTCCTGTGCTGGCCCCAGCC